TCCTCACAGAGGCCGCCCTGCAGCCCCGCCGCCAGCGCCTGGGCACCTGCCCCCGGTACTTGCCATACAGTAAGGATATTGTAAGCTGTGGATGGACAAAACAATCCTGCAATTCCTGATCTTCGGCTGTTCGTAAGACCTGAGACTATGTGACTTTTCAAAAAAATCTGCCTAAGCCTACCCGCCATCAGTCACCAGAAAGTTAGTTGCCTGTGAGAAGTTACATGCCACAGCTTTGCCACGTGTAATGATGTGGAGGGAAGGCTCCTTCAGAGGTTGACACTGGTGTTGAACTGAGTCAGCAATCAGTACAACTGAGGGTTTTTTGACACCTAACTTTTAGTTAACTGGAGTGGCGTGGGTCTCAGCCTGGTATCTCATGATGAACAGTCAAAATAATCAAAGATTGCTCCTGAAATATTGCTGTAAAATTTACTCTCAAGTGTGCTGTGTTGTGCAAAGGAGACATAGCCCTTTCTCTTTGCTTTCTGAAGACATCCAGAATAAGTAACTTGAGGGTAAATTGAGTTTTTGACGAATATTGTATGTGCAGTTTTATTTCAGGTCCGCCGAATGCGTTGGTGTAGCCTGTGTGTGTTTGCACACCTGCATGCCGCTGGAAATGCTCGTGCTGTAGCGCCGCTAGATGCCTTTGCGAATCCATCACCTGGTTTGGGAAGCTCAGCACAAGCGGCCGTCCGGCCTGAGCGAGCAGATGTGTTGTGCACCCTGATGTTGTTCTGGGATGAGATTAATTTCAGCACGCTCATATTAATCCATTATATGTCTCTTTCCAGCACAAATGGACCCCCGAGGCCTATCTCCCAGACAAATTAAAAGTGACAGTGATGATGACGACCTGCCAAATGTGACCTTAGATAGCGTTAATGAAACTGGATCTACAGCGCTCTCCATAGCCAGAGCAGTACAAGAGTAAGTATCAGATTCCCAGAGCGAGATGAGTGTTGCCGAAGTGCTCCCTGGCCGATGGAGGCACCGGCCCTCGGCAGCGCCACCGGAGTGTCCCCCCAGCTGCAGGCCGGCATACCTGCCAGCATCTCTTCTGTGTAGCTTCGTTCCCTTTAGGAAGAGATGGCTGTATCTCTCATCTCTCTCTGATTCTCTTTTCCTTTCTTTCTCTCCGTCCTCATTATTAGGTAAAGTTTCAAATTGAAATTGTTTCTTCCCCTTTATTTACTTGCAAAGCTTGCAAAGTCTCCAAAGGGAGACCAGGTTAGACTTTCACTCAAAAAACATGAAATTTTTTCTTGACTGAAAGCAGCATCAAGAAGTTTCTTCTAGTTGCTGTCAAATGGGAACTACCTACATTTCTCCTGAAGGACAGTCTCATTGAAAGAAAATTAGTGAGGGGCTTTGAACAGTTTTTCCATTGCTATTATTTTTCTGTGTACTTTTACTCACTGGATGGACAAATAATTTCTTCATGTACTGTCTGTATTGCTTGTTTAAAAAAAAGAAAAAGTTTATCATGAACATTAGCAATTCTGTAGATGCATGAGCTTGCTCAGTCACTATAGTAGCTGGAAGGGAACCAACTGTGAGGTAAATAAGTATTAATAGCCCCATTTTATAGGTGAGGAAAATGAGGTTATGCGTAAAGGTCACCCTGTAGGTCTGAAGCAGAGCTGGAAATAGAACTAGAGCCTCTAGGCACTGAAGCCTGTGCTGGACCCACAAAACACATTACTTTATCTGAGAGGTTCAAAACATGGGCATTCTGGATGTTATTAAATAGGAAGGCATGTAATAAAGGCCATTAGACATTGTTATTATATAATTTATTATAGATGCATTTTAAAAGTCTTATCTAAAAGTACGTAGTTTTGCTTTGTTTTCCTGGCCATCAGTAGCCAAAAGCACTGATGTTTCCAAAGCAATGCCCTATTTGCTTAGAGGAAACTAAGCCATGTTTGAAGGGGAACTACTTTTTTGGGGTTTTCACCAGACATCCACTAATTCATTTTCTAGTCAAGCAGTGTAACCTCAAACCTATATTCCCCTCTACAGAGAGTTCTCTATGGGCAAGGCAAGGCATTGGCTCTCACTGTAATTAGCATGCTCCCCTTCTGACGGTGATAAAGGAAGGGAAGGTTTCTTCACCAGTGACACTATTGCTTGATAGATGGGCCTCACACATATTTTGAATTCACTAGTTACAACACCAGGCCCTGAAGTGCTAAGTATTTTTTTCTCAGTTTATAGCACACATAATAAGCCAGAAAAATAAAACAACCGTCATGATTTTGCACTAAATGGTTCTGTCTAATTAATGAAAAGAGGAAGCATGGGCTGCTAGCACATACTTCTAACATATGACTGGCAGGCAGATGCTATTCTCTGTGATTGATACTGCTTGAACACTTAGAGGCTTTGGTCAAACCATGAAAAGCTTTTTTAGCTTTTCCACAATGCATTCCACAGTTTGTGAAGGTAAATGTGTGGCATATTACTTGGCTGGCTCTGGAGCTTGAGAATTAAATTAAGAAATATAATAATATAACATCAACTCATCCTTGTTACAGGTTTTATTTAAACAGTAATCTGTTAGTTTATTTTAAAAGCCCCATTAGGAAAATCTAATTTGACTGTGATCTGCAGTTTGTCTTCTTTTCTACTTCATTCTTAGTCACAGACACAACACATATAGCTGCTGAGCTGAAAAGAGATGTTATTATACCGACTCCACTCAATCCATTTCTTTCTTGGTCTATAATATAGTGCCTTACAGGCGGGCTCTATTCTTAGTTTAGTCATCTAACATGTACCTTAAGATTAGACGTTTAGCAAAGCAGTCCACTGATAATAAAAGCCAGCATTCTACATAGCCTTGTTCCAGAGAGGAAAGTGCCTTTGAAGCCTTCCAAAGGGAGATCCTGTGTGCTCAATTTCGGCGTCTAAACTTAGCAGACAGGAATTTCCTCTGAGGACATGGAAAGGCACCTGCTGTTCTGCTGAATAACCAGGCAGCGTAGGGGCATGCATAGAAAGATTGCTTCAGTAGGCAGTAAAGCCTAGGTCTAAGCCAAGTGCGTAAGTGAGGTAGGCTGGACCTCAGACTCTAGAAGACTGTCCCTAAGAGTGCCTTCTTTCTTAAGTGAGCTTGTAAGCTCTTTCTTGTGAATTGTTACACAGTTAACAACACAAAACTTCTTGCTGAGAGAGGGTCTTCTCTTCATGTGGGATACTGGCTGGGAAGTACAGCATGGCACCTCCAAAGGGATGGCAGCATCCTTTCCTTCAATACCAGATTGCTGTTGTGCAATCTTGTCTTTGTTAAACAGAATACCAAGCCTAGTTTGTAGATGCTGGTACCAGGTGCGAGACAACAGTTGACCTTTTTCTGGTTGGTTTTCAGACATGTTTTAAATTATTCTGCATAAGTATTATAAATATATATACATATGTATATATATTTGCCTATTGCCGCCTATTGTCCAGGAGCAGAAAGGGATTTCAAATACCTTGGGTGAGCCCTGTGCAGCCCCTCACGCAATGTGTGGGGCTATGGGGCATTGCCTTGGTGAGGCTCCTGACTTTCCCTGTGTGCTGTCTGTGGGGTTCAGGATTCGTCTTGCGTAGTTAGACATCTGCAATGTAGGTATCTGCGTCTGAGCTAGTTATCTCACCTCCCTGCATACAGGCCAGATAGCAGTTGGTGTGTCCAGACGGTAATTCTTTTGACCTATTCTAGCTGTCTAATTTAGGGAGAGAGAGAGACTCAAGCCCATGAGCGCCTGTTCCTCTCCATTGACTGCAGGCGGTGCAGACAGCTGCCTGGGACACACGTGTCAGCACTGCAGATCTCTGGTGTGAGGTGAGGGTAAGGCAATCCACGGCGCCTGACTGGGGAGTCAGCGTGCCGAAGGTGGGAGTGACAGGACGATAGTGAATGCTCCAACATCTTCCCTTGGATCTAAATCTGCCAGGTGGGGTTAGCAATGCCAAGGTTTTAACCATGAGCTGGAGGAAATCAACTAGTCAGTGTTTGGGGAGAAACTGTTTTTTTAATACATCCGTTTTTAAGCTTTTTGTCTTGGAAATTACCCTTACGTGGCTGGGTTGTCTGGAATGCCTATAGGAAAGCTTTGCTTTTCATGTCCTCTAAAACTGGAAGGCATCCTCCTGTGTTGCTGCTTTGTTTCAGGTCCCCTATAGTCTTAAAAGAAGAAAATTCTTACCAGTAAAAATTGTGACAATCAAACACTAAGAGCCACGTGTTTGGCATTAGTTCTTATTTACTTAAACATAATGTAATTTGCTTGCATATTTGTAAAATAATCAAGTATGACTATTTTTTTCTCAGGGAAATTGGCTTCTTGCTGCTGGCTTTATATTGGCTGAGCTTCCAGACTTCTCAGTAGTTCTTTTGGAATGACTTCATAGTCGCTCTTCAGCTCAGCAAACCCGATCAATAATGTAAAGTTATAGATAAACAAAGTCATTATTTCAAGCAGGGTACTTTGGTGAAATTTCTTTATGTGACAATGCTGCTTTATGGCAGTTGCTATGCCTTACTATAATTCGGACTAAGAATAAATTATTAATCTCAGATAATATGCTCTGGCTGATAATAAATATTGCAGCAATATGTAGATTTCAGTGGGCTTTGCATTGTAAGCAGCATTTCATCCTTTTTGTAGCGTGTTTTACAAACTCATTTTGACATGTAGCTCTCTAACAAAGAGCAGATTTGCCTCCATACGCCTGACACCACTGATGCTTATTACACAGCAAGAATAGCACCATATATTCAGGGTCAAATCTCAGATACGCTCTAGAAATCTTTATGAAGCCAAGGGAAGAGAAGGCATTAGTCAAACCCTAGAAGACCAGTAAAACTTTTTTAGGGCCCTCCTCGGAGGCAGCGTGCTGTTCCCTCAGCCTGGCAGCCCTTCCATCTGTAGGTAGCCTTGATGCAGTGGGGCTCAGGAGCCACCTCCATAATACATAGTAATGCAAACTCTGAACAGGGCATTCATCTCCTTCTTTCCCTGTACACTTACGCAGTAAAATACGTTACTTTACAACATGCAGCGCTCTCTCCCTGAACACACACCACATAAGATCTCCTCCTTGCAGAGGCTGAGGGCAGAAGTGGGAGAGGCAGAGGAGGGTGATTTTTAGCATGAACTTTTGATCAGTGTATCAGTAAAAATCCAAAGATCCAGAAATTCGTCTTTCTCTCTCTAGACTTTTTTCTCCTTAGGGGGTGTAGGCGGAGGGAGCCCCTTTGACAAAACCATTTTTTCTTTCAAATAATGTCAGGGGGAAGATGGACTGTGCATATAAACTGATGATGCTTAAGGTAGCTTCTTGTTTTTCCGGAATGATGGAGAGACAGAAAATTCAGAGAGGAAATCCTGAATACTTGTAGTTATAGCTGCTGTTAATTCATAGAAATGTGATTTGTCATTTGGATGTGACCGTGTTGACCTTTAGCGTGAACAATTCTTTGTGCTGAGCTGGGTGCCGCTGAGTGCTTGTATGAAAATGAGATTAGGGGCTTTGACTCTACACCCTGTTGTGTTTGGCTGCATTATGTGATTGATACATTGATACTAATGTGATCATCTTACCTTATTTTTAAATTCTGCTGGCTTTTATTATTGCAATACAGTGGAAGATAGTTTTGGATACTGCACTAGTGAAAAAGAAATTCCACAGCATAGCCACAGTACCAATGTACTCTCTTAAATTGGTATGTATTTTTCAAGTCTGAATTTTTCTCCTTAGATTTCTTTTTTTCTCCCTCCTCTTCTTCAATGTAAATCAACTTCTGTGATTGATTTTTATCTCTTTGAGGTTTATAACTGTGTTCCCATCAGCCATTCATTTTCTACACTGATATTGTCTGTTTTGCTGCTTCAACTGCAGTCATTACTACCATTGCGCTATTCATTACAGGGAACTTT